ATCTCCTTGCCCATGACTTAGACGGCTGGCTGACTGGGTTAGCATTCCACCCCACTCCCTCCTCCAAACACCCTGCTTGATGTTCCTTCAGTATCTCTTCAACACTCATCAGAAGGGATGGGAGTCAACTGGTTTTCTCTTAATAAAAAATGTTATACCTTTCTCTTTAATTGCAAAGTAAGGTTTTAAAAAATAACATTTCCAAATAAAACAGTTGTGGGAGGCATAGTCAACGTTTAAAATTTATATCATAAAATGAATTATTGATTCCCAGCAAATACTCCTCCTCACTTGGTTTCAGATTTTCAGCTGACTGCAGCACAGCCCTAGAGCCTGCACCAGGCCCAGTCCTCCACGTTAGGGACCGGAGAACACTTGGACCGGGTGAGTTTTTATGTCTCTCCATTGCCCTCAAAGGCACTGCCAGTCTCAGCAACAGGAACGTGCTGACTTCTAACTCACCAGCTCTACTGTGAGCCCGTCACCCGCAAAACCTCAGTCACTTAGTCCAGGGATGTGCTGGCGCCCAGCACTAGTGCAGCTGGCACCACATGAGGCCCCTGGCAGCTGCCCGGCAGCCCACCCCTCTATTTCTTCACTGCCATGAGAGGGGGCTGGGCCCAGAGCTTCAGGGTGGCTCTCAGCATGAGGGAGAAGGGGTCAAGTAAAGGAAAAATCAGGAGGGAAAGCTGAAGACAGTCTAACGCCTGGGGGTGGAGGTGGAACAGGTAACCAGGTCTTCCTGGGGATAGACTTCACAATGTGGGGATGGACTTGGAAGTGAAGAGAGAAAGAAAACTCGTGCTCTGTAACAGGCTCGGCGCTCTTTCTACCATATGTCATCATAATATTTCAATCATCAGATCTGAACTAAATACAGATTAATTGACCAAATAATATTTTAATGACAACAGCAGTGGCCCCCAGCAGTGCTCCAATTTATGCACAACGTCGAGATAAATTATGTCTTTGGACTTGCAAAGATATCTAATTAGGAAGGTTTCCAGATATAAAGAACCATCACCGTAACGCATGTCATTTCATCACTCTAAAGTCCCTCATTAACATATGAAAACGTTAGTGTTTTAAACTGCTTGTGTCAAATGAGGTCCTGAAGATGGGACATGGGTGGAGCTGCTGCCCAGTGGGCAGCTCAGCTGATTCATCACCTGATGGCACCGGATGTGGCCATTCCTCCGCCTGCAGATGGAGTCACCAGATGGATATTTTGCCATACAATAATCTTTCTTATTTCACTTTATTGTATTCTGACTTTCTAGCTGGGTAGAGCTGGGAATCAGTATTTGTGTTAGGATGAGATATTAAGATTCTCTTGGAGCGCTGGTGTTTAACATAGTTTATCTTAAAGGCTGCCTCAAGGTTGCTGCAAGATAAAACTGCCTGAGGGAGTCTGTCAATCAGATGCAACCATGGTAACCAGAGGAAACTCCAAAATGGCCATAATTCTGCAACTTTGCCCAAAATGAGGACAAAACCACCCTGTATCCAGTACGGCACATACACTGGGTTTCGCAGTGGCATGAGGAATGCCTTATGGAGTTGGCCCAGTTTGGGAGGTAGCAGAAACAACATCTCAGTGGGTTTTGCAGGAAGAATAGGAGTTTGCTGACAAATTTCATGCTTCCTTTGTAGACAATGGGGAAGTAGCAGAGGGCAGGGAGCAGGATGATAAAGTGAGGAGCTCTATACTAGGGAGGGTGGATTTGCCGCAGAGGAGGGGTGGGCAGAGGGCCAACGCAGGGGAGGGTACCGCTTAGAAGAATGCCACATTGTTTTCAGACGGAATTTGCAGGCTCACTGGGGATGCTGGGTTGGACCCTACACCAAAAATTACATGGAACAAGAACTTCTGTGGTAATGCTAAGCATATGTGAGACTGTGATGATCCTAACACCAGAACTTTTTGATAGAAAACCAGTGATCACTGCAGGGAGTTACTACCATCTCCCATCCAACGTGTGTTACCGTGACTGCTGCTAATGTGTTGAAAAAATAAAAACAGACAATGGAGACCTGGCAAGGTGGCTGAGGAAATCACACGTGTGAGAGATGGGCTGACGGAAAAGTCCAAAACCCCTTCAAGGAGCATCCGCGCCATTCCAAGGTTTCCAGAGCTTCAGAGCCATGGACTGTCTACTCCTGTTTCTCTGTAACCCCCGACAACCCCAGTTTTAATTTCCATTCTCTTTCCCCCTTATCCATTGACTATTTCATTTATTTTTGACTCAAATATGCCAGGCATACTTGAGAGCTGAGATGCACGGTGAAGTAAGTAGAGCCAGCACCATCTCACACTGTCGCTCCTGTCTTCCAGTGAGGGAGAGAGCCAGTAACCACACAGCTGGCAAGGGACGTACAACTGGGACATATACACCCAAGGAGACGCCAGGTGCCTCTGAAGGCTGAGAGTAGACATGTCCTGCCCATCACACCTTCCTCGCCTGTGTCAGAGCTACATCTAAAATCTAGTTCCTGGCCAGGTGCAGTGGCTCATGCCTGTAAATCCCAGCACTTTGGGGAACCGAGGCGGGTGGATCACAAGTTCAGGAGTTCGAGACCAGCCTGGCCAATATGGCGAAACCTCATCTCTACTAAAAATGCAAAAATTAGCCGGGCATGGTGGCATGCACCTGCAATCCCAGCTACTTGGGAGATTGAGGCAGGAGAATGGCTTGAACCCAGGAGGCGGAGGTTGCAGTGAGCTGAGATCACGTCACTGCACTCCAGCCTGGGTGAAAGGCGAGATTCCATCTCAAAAAAAAAAAAAAAAAAATCTAGAATTCCTAATTTCCATCATATTCACTCTGCCTCATTCATTTTTCAGCTTATTCGTTTGTTTATTCATTTGCTTGTACCTTTGTTCACCTGCCAATTCATTCTTTTAACGTTCAATCAGTTATTCATCCATTAGCTACACACAGGGCAGGCACAGAAGATACAGCCCTCTTGTCTCAGCTCAGCTACAAGGCACAGAAGCATAACAAGGCTAAGGAACATTGCACAGGAGTCATAAACAGGTGCTACGGGCACACTGGCCAGTGAAAGCTGACCTGGTGTGGGGGGGCTCGATGAAGGCTCTGCAGAAGAGGCCCTGACAGGTGCCAGGGAATCACTTCCACAATATGCAACACACGCTCACACGCAAACCTGATCACATCCATAATATGCAACACATGCTCACACGTTCCATGTGACGTGCAGACAGGACCCCCGCCCCATGGAAGTCAGAGTCAAAACGGGGAGTAGAGAGGAAGCAAAGGCTGCATCTTGTGTCAAGTGCCACGGAGGGAATGGCCAAGTACTGCGGCGTCTCGGGGGCCTTCTACAGAGAAGGTGGTGGCTTCAGGGCCTGGTGCCTGCAGGAAAAGAACCGGGGGAAGCACCTTGCAAGCACGGAGAGAAACTGTGGAAAGTTACAGAAACTGTCAGGAAGCCAGTGGGCTGGTGCAAAGGGTATCATCAGATGAAGTCAGCAGCTTGGGCAAAGCACTGCAGGTGGGGGGAAACTTTTTAAATTTTTTCCTGTATGTGTCAAGAAGCCACTGAAAGCTTTCAGAAGACTTTTTATTGACAGGATTCTATTTTTTTTTTTTTCTTTTTGAGATGGAGCTTCGCTCTTGTTACCCAGGCTGGAGTGCAATGGCGCGACCTCGGCTCACCGCAACCTCCGCCTCCTGGGTTCAAGCAATTCTCCTGCCTCAGCCTCCTGAGTAGCTGGGATTACAGGCACGCGCCACCATGCCCAGCTAATTTTTTGTAGTTTTAGTAGAGACGGGGTTTCACTGTGTTGACCAGGATGGTCTTGATCTCTTGACCTCGTGATCCACCCACCTCGTCCTCCCAAAGTGCTGGGATTACAGGCTTGAGCCACCGTGCCCGGCCTTGACAGGATTCTGTTTTTATCTTTTTTTTTTTTTAATTTATTTTATTGCAGTTTAGGTTTTGGGGTACATGTGAAGAACATGCAAGATTGTTGCATAGGTACACACGTGGCAGTATGATTTGCTGCCTTCCTCCCCATCACCTATATCTGGCATTTCTCCCCATGCTATATCTTTAAAGAAGTATACTGGTTGGGCCCTCAAACCCATAGAGGGGTCATATTGCAAGGAGAAAAGACCGCCCTTTCCTCGGCCGGGCGCAGTGGCTCACACTTGTAATACCAGCACTTTGGGAGGCCAAGGCAGGCAGAACACAAGGTCAGGAGTTTGACACCAGCCTGACCAACATGGTGAAACCCCATCTCTATTGAAAATACAAAAATTAGCCAGGCACAGTGGTGCGCGCCTGTAATCCCAGCTACTCGGGAGGCTGAGGCAGGGGAATCACTTGAAAGCAGGAGGCGAAGGTTGCAGTGAGCTCAGACTGTGTCACTTCACTCCAGCCTGGGCGACAGAGCGAGAATCTGTCTCAAAAAAAAAAAAAAAAAGAAAGAAAAGAAAAAAAAGAAAGTGAAGAAAAAACCACCCCTTCCTCTAAGTGAAGAGGCAGATTCCAACCCTTGGCCAGGCCGCCATGCAGGGCAGAAGGTGCCCTGATTCTAGCTGCTGCAGACGCTGGGGGAAGGCAACCGAAACCAAAGAGGTGGCCATACTGACAGGTATGAGGGAAAGAACTGCAGATAACTTCCGAAGAAACAGCTGGTGGGCTCTGATGTGCATGGGTGGGGAGGTGAGGGAAAGGGACTGCTGTATGCTCCATGCATCTTGGTTCTATTATCTTTGTGGCCCACGTGCAAGCTTTCAGCTCTACAGAAATGCTAAACAACTACAGATTTCCCATCGCACGTATGCCAGAGATCAAATGCTTCCCAGAAATTCTTGGTTGTTCTGTCTTCTGCACGCATGCAATGGTGCAATGAGGTCTCCCTTCCGAGATGCACAGGGCTCTCTGCAGGGTCAAATTCCAGAGCCGGGATTCCCGAGTCAAAGCGTGAATTGACCTATCGTTGTCTTAATTCTGGCAAATTATCCTCCTGGGTGGGGGTGGGGGAGCACTGTACCATTTTACACTCCTCTTTTAGCAAAATATGAGAAGGTCTGTTTCACCCCAGCTTCAGCAAAAGAGGGTGTTCTCCAGTTTGTGGGGTTTTGCCTGATATCGACATGTGACATACAATATCTTGCTGTTGTTTTAACTGTAATTTCTGTTACCACGAGGTTCACAGTGTTTTCATGTGGTGAGGCCATCTGAATTTCTATGAGCTCTCTGACCCCACCCATTTTTCTTTTGGATATTTGTGGTCTTTTTCTTATAAACTTCTAGGATGCAAGAACTATTTGGGATCTGAATTGGAAATATTTCTCCCAGTTTGGTATATTGCTTCTGAGTTTGCATGCTTTCTTAGAAATTTTATTTTATTTACTTAGCCATGTAAAAGTTTTTGCTTTGATATAGTCACATTTATCCAAATGTTATGGTGGCAAAGAATCCTATATGAGCTGCTAAAAAGGAATGGGGTGGGGGAGGTGGTTCTTTGGTCCAGATTTAGAGAGATCTCCAAATGTATCATGAAGTGGAAAAGGCAAAAGTACATAGTTTACCCCTGTTTCTCCATGAAAGAAAGTGGGCATGTATGCTCTTATTTGTTTATATTTTCATAAAGGAAGTATGATAGGTTATTTTATATGTCAGCTTGGCCAAGCTCTGGTGCTGGGTCATTCGGTTAAACACTAGTCCAGATGTTGCTGTGGCTGTCCTTTTTAGATATGATTCTTATCTACAATAAACAGACAGGTTAGTTAAGCAGATTATCCTCCGCACTGCGAAGGGCCTCATCCAGTCAGTCAAAGGCCCTCAGAGCAAAGACTGTGGTTCCCCAAGTAGAATGAATTCCTCTCAAGACTGTGACACAGAAAGCCCACCTGAGCTTCTAGCCTGAAGAATTCAGACTGACGAATGCAACTTCCTCATCTACTGAACCTCCAGCCTCCCTGCTGCCCTGCAAATATCATACTTGCCAGCCCCCACAATCAGGTGAGTCCGTTCTTTAAAAAAAAAAAAAAATCAGGCTCTGCTGGGCGCAGTGGCTCATGCCTATAATCAGAGCACTTTGGGAGGCCAAGGTGGGAGGATCACAAGGTCAGGAGATCGAGATCATCCTGGTTAACACAGTGAAACCCCACCTCTACTAAAAATACAAAAAATTAGCTGGGCCTGGTAGCACGTGCCTGTAATCCCAGCTACTCAGGAGGCTGAGGCAGGAGAATTGCTTGAACCCGGGAGGTGGAGGTTGCAGTGAGCCGAGATTGCACCATTGCACTCCAGCCTGAGTGACAGGGCCAGACTCAGGCCCCCCCCCCCCCAAAAAAAAAATCAGGTGTGCTCTCCCCACCGCCCCCTCGTCTGTATCTTCCTTTCCTCTCATTGGTTCTGTTACTCTAGAGAACCCTGATTAACACAGAAACACTTGGAGGATTCCGCAAAAAAAAAAGTGAGTACAGTAATTGTGTGTGGGAAGGATGAGGGAAGGGTGGAAATGGGAATTCTCAGTTTAGGCCTTGTTATAGTTAGAAGCTTTAAGCCACGTAAATATCTCACCTACTCAAAACAGAAAGTAGAATTTGGGGCAGCATCAACTTTTAGGAATAAAATAAAATAAATGCTACACAAATTAAGCAATAAAGGTTATTCATTTTATATAAATTTAACATACAGAAAAAAGAGAATTATCCAGGTTTATTCAAAAGATGAACTGCTAAGAAAGAAGACATTTTTTAAAAGCACTGAGATGCAATTCTTTTAAACATGAACCTTTATACCATATTTTAAAGCTATATGATATTCTACAAATCTGGTGTATCCTTCATGCATTTGACAGAAGGTTTGATTCCTACCCTGACCCCACCAGGCGGGCAAACATAACTTGTAGTGGTCTGTAAAGGGGCCAGGCCATGACCTGGGCTGAAGTGGGCAGCCTGTGGCTTGGAAGACTTTCCAGGGAACCGGTGGTACATCCCCAAAACGCTTCACTTTGTGTCCGAGGATTCAGAGATGTCCAGGGTAAACTGACACTTTCAAAACCAACTCTAAATGTTTGTTTGTTTGCTTGCTTGCTTGCTTGTTTTTTATTTTTGAGAAGGAGTCTCACTCTGTCGCCCAGGCTGGAGTGCAGTGGCACGATCTTGGCTCACTGAAACCTCTGCCTCCTGAGTTCAAGCGATTCTCCTGCCTCAGCCTCCCGAGACGCTGGGACTGCAGGTGCATGCCACCATGTCCAGTTAATTTTTTGTATTTTTAGTAGAGATGGGGTTTTACGGTGTTCGCCAGGATGGTCTCGATCTCCTGACCTCATGATCCGCCCTCCTTGGCCTCCTAGAGTCCTGGTATTACAGGTGTGAGCCATCTCACTGGCCCCCAACTCTAACTGTTTAATAAAAACTAAGAATCATGCATAACAAGAGCTTCATCATGGACATACACACCGTTTTACAGGAAACTCAAACCCTAAATATATGTAATCTCCTTTGTTGCAGGGAACTTCCTCCCTGTTAGTCTGAAGAAAAGTATTACCATCTGGGACACATTCCTCTCACTTTCAGGAGAAGGGGCTTTACAGAAGGGTCTTTATTTACACTAGCAGCGCCCCACTATGCACCTGCTGCATTTGTGAGACATGGGCTTTCTGGGCCACTCCAGTGACTGCTGAGCCGGCACCTGATGACATTTCTTCAAGCAAGTTGCCTTAGCTGACCCATCTACTGCTCCACACCCGAGGTGGGGTGGGGAGGGGTGTCCTCTGATGGAAGGTCAGTGCCACAGAGAAACACTGGCCACTCAGAGTGCATTCGGTCCTGGGATAGAGACCCTGTCCCCAAGCGTCCACAGTGCAGCATCCACAGAGAGGCCTGGCTCCCAGGGCTTACAGAAGCAGAGCACAGAGCTGTTTGTTGAAATGACAAGTGCCCTGCTAAAAGAAACTGCATGCACAGCATTAGAGAGCCAGGTAAACTCATGTGAGCAGTCTGTGTTTGGGACTAAACACACACGCGCGCATGCGCACACACACGCCTGTGTTGAATCCCAGCTCTGTTACATAACTTTCTGGAGGTCCCTTCCCTTTGCCAAGGCTGCCTTTCCCTACATTAAGTGGGAACGATACGATTCCACCATAAAGAACGGTCATGAAATCTGAATGCAGTGATGAGCCCTAAGGCTACAAGTGCCAGTACTGTAGGTAGTAAGCGCTTACTAAATGCTGGCTCCTCCTCCGTAACTGATGGGAGTATTAGGAGCCATATAGATCTCTGGATAGTTCTTGAAAGCTGTCTCTAGAGGCTGTGTTTGGCAACATGTCACATGAATCTCTTGAATGAAATTCCCCCGACCCTTAGGCCTTTCAGGAGTAATGCCAGGGTCCTTCCTGTGAGCCGCTCAGCCAAGTGGGGCTAGTGGAGAGCAGAGATGGGCCTTGGCTAGTAGGGAGCAGGACACAAGCATAGCCCTGTGGTAAGGCAGACAGGGCTCCCTGCCAAGGTCGTCTGCTTACCGCACCAAGACCCCTTCTACCCCTGTAAGCTCACCTGGCCCCGGGAACACAGGAGAGCTGGTGCCCCCAGAGGAAACAACCAGGGACAGAGCCCTGCGAGCCCCCTTCAGGGAGACAGTTCTGGGGCATTCTGTGTGGCTCCAGGCACCCCCAGGCTCACAGTGTCGACCCTGCTAATGCCCCCCAGGGACTCCTTTTCCTGTCCCACATCCCCCCAGCTCCTCACACCTGCTTCCTTGTCCTGGGCTCTGCTTCTGGGCTAAAGACACCCCCAGTGTGGAGAGCTGTTTGGAACGCAAGAGAAGACTGAGGACTTGAGGCCCCTGCTGTCACTTCACTTACATCCCCAGGAGCGCAGGCCACTGCCCGTCAAATCCTGTCCCCGTGAGGCAGGATGATGACGGCGGTCGCAGTGGACACTTATTCCCTGTCAGACACTGACCTAAGCACCTTATTATTAACTATTTTAATTCTCACACCAACCCCACAAATTACTATGACCGTCTTTGTTTTCCAAATAGGGAAACCGAGGCACGAGAAGCTAACTTTCCGAGGCTGCCCAGCTGGTAAGCAGCAGAGCCAAGCTTCCCGCTTGGCCAGCGAGCTCCAGAGTCCCTGCCCTCAAATCAGAAGCTGCATGGCACAGTGACGCCAAGAAAACAACCTGGAGGGCCCAGGCTGGCAGAAGTCGGTGGGGGGGGCAAGGACAAGGAGGAAGCCAAAAGCTAAGAACAAAGTCAGACGGACACCGAGGCAGAAGCCGGGAAAGCAGAGCACGGTCACCAATTGTTGGGGACATGCTCTGAGTGAGAGGGTTTGAGAACTGCCACTCGCGGGCCGAGGACTGCTCGCTCTAAAGGTGTCTCAGGCTGAAATCCAGCTAGACCTCTGCTCCAAGTCAGGGGCTGCGGCACAAAACACAGATCTTTGCTCTTTCTGTCCACAGCAGCCCTCGGCCCACCCCAAGACAGCAGCAGAGAAGCGACCCAGGCAGGGGCTGCGGTCAGTGGGTGGAGCCTCTGGTTTCCTAGGAAAGTCAGACGTGCTGGTTGCCATTTTCTCCATAAATTACTCCCATGAAAGTCAAATATCTGCATTAACTAAATTTTTGATATTTTATGGATTGGTTCCACAAAAAAAGCACTTAAACAGCCCTTTCTGCTGACTTCCAAATTCCTATCTCACCTCCCTCTCATCTTCAATTCAAGTTTATCATCCTCTGTGTAAACCAAGAAGGTGTATGGTGACATTATTTAGTGAGTTTTATTTTATTTTAAATTATAAATAACAGCAAACTTCAAAAAATGCTTCCATTTCACAGTTATTCCTTTTCAAGATTTTTGGCCATAAACTAAAGCTAAAGCCAACCTCCAAAAGACACAAGTGACATCTTAAACAAAAGCGCTGACCAAATCGAGCCCTCCCCAGCTTCTTGGGGCATAAATTGGAATTTTACGCCATAGGCCAAGAGTTAAAACTATACCTTCCGATTTGCTTCCAATGTGATCTGTAATTCACGGTCCAAAGAAAAGTTTGGATTCATGTCAGAACAGCCTCACACACACAGCCATCTGCAAAGTCCCGAGAAGCCATGTGTAAATGCAACCCGAAACTTACCCTTCCACGTTCTCAAGATTTCTAAAAGAAACAATTTCCTGTCTCATACATGGTTTCCCTCCCTTCCCTCGTTCCCTCCCCCTCCCCCTTCCCCTTCCTTCCCTTTCCTCTCCCTCCCCCTTCCTTCCCTTCCCTTCCTGTTCCCCTTCCCTTACCTTCCTGTCTTGTATATGGTTCCCCCTCTCTCTCCCTTGTTTTCTTTCTTTTTCTTTCTTTCCTTTCTTCTCTCTTTTCTTTCCTTCCCTTCCCCTTCCTTCTCTTCCTTCCTTCCCTCCCTCCCTGCCTTCCTCCTTTTCTTCCTTCCTTTTTTGAGACAAGATCTCACTTGGTCACCCAGGCTACAGTGCAGCCTCACCGTTCCAGCTCGCTGTCTTGGACTCATGAAATCCTCCTGCCTCAGCCTCCTGAATAGCTGGGACTATAGGCATATGCCATTGTGCCTGGTTAACTTTATTTTATTTTTGGTAGAGATAAGGTCTTGCTGTGTTGCCCAGGCTGGTCTCCAACTCCTGGCCTCAAGCAATCCTCCTACCTCAGACTCCCAAAACGGTGGAATTACAGGTGTGAGTCACCCTGGGCCTATGGCATCTTAATTTTTAAATTTTTCATCTATTTTTTCTACATGAGGTCATTATTTTATTTAACATATATACACATAGTCACAAAGAGACTTAGGACTTCAGAATCAGAAAATGAATTAAAAAAATACAATGTCCTGCTACAAGAAAATAATTTTTACCTAAAAAATCATGGAGAAATGGGCTGGGTGTGGTGGCTCAAGCCTGTAATCCTAGCACTTTGAAAGGCCGAGGTGGGCAGATCGCAAAGTCAGGAGATCAAGACCAGCCTGACCAACATGGTGAAACGCCGTCTCTACTAAAAATACAAAAATTAGCTCGGCATGGTGGCGTGTGTCTGCAGTCCCAACTACTCAGGAGGCTGAGGCAGAAGAATTGCTTGAACCTGGGAGGCAGAGGTTGCAGTGAGCAAAGATCACACCACTGCATTCCAGCCTGGGTGACACAGCGAGACTCCGTCTTAAAAAACAAAAAATAAAAATAAATCATGGAGAAATGGCTGGGTGCCCATGCCTGTAACACCAGTACTTTGGGAGGCCGACGTGGGTAGATCACGAGGTCAGGAGTTTGAGACCGGCCTGACCAGCATGATGAAACCCCTGTCTCTACTAAAAATACAAAAATTAGCCAGGTGTGGTGGTGTGCTCCTGTAATCCCAGCTACTCAGGAGCCTGAGGCAGGAGAATCACTTGAACATGGGAGGCGAAGGTTGCAGTGAGCTGAGATCTCGCCACTGCACTCCAGTCTGGGCAACAGAGCAAGACTCCAATAACAACAACAAAAAATCATGGAGAAAGAAAGTGCTAGGAGACGATGGACAGAAGTTACTGTGATTGAAGAGAAGATAAGGGACTAACTGGGCAAAGCATTCACATGAAGTCCGTCAGCACCCAGAAGGTTCGTCGTGAGTCTACACTGGCTCGCAAACACAGCAGCAGCTGCAACATTGGCTGCTCTTTCACTGGCAGGGTAAGGCGTGTAGACACAGTGTATCTGAGAGGCAGGGATCAGTCAGATTTTTAATTTCTCTCCTGCAGCCCAGAGTCTTGTACTGGGAGACGAAGCTTCCATTTGCTGTCATGGCGTTCCAGCAGACGCAGAGAGTCAGGTGAAACAAATACACAGGGGCACCACCTGGGATGGGTGGGGAGTGTTGTCAGACTCTGTGTCAAGGTGCAAGGGGTGGGTGGGCTTACCAGAGTGAGAGGATATCTATAGGGAATACATGTCCAACCTTGCACTCGGGCTTGAAAAAACATCAGCTTTAAGTGCTGAATTCTGAATGCATTTATTGGATCCAAAAATGTCTGCGTAGGTCTTCAGTGTGCCAGGCACTGGTCTCAGTCTGGGGGTGCAGCAGTGAATAAAACTGTCAAATAAACTTCACACAGTGAGAGGGTAAGAGACTTAATGCACCCCATAGGGCATTAGAAGGTGGTAAGCCGGGGAAATGAAAACGGGGGAGGGCCGGGACAGGCAGCGGCAATGTGAATGGGTCTGGCCTCACTGAAATGTCAACAGAACAAGAAGAGAGCCAGAACCACAGAAAGTTCCGACTGAGGCAGCGGGGAGGAGGAGTGTGGCTGGAGCTGAGCCGGCGAGGAAAATCCAGGAAGGCTGGCTCAGGAGTGGGAGGGGGTGGCTGCAGATGGGGGAGTTGGCTTTTAGCCAGAGAGAATGTGGAGTTTTTGGAGCATTTCCAATACAGGAGTGACAGAATTTGGAATGAGCTTTGAAAGGTTCACAAAAGTAGCTCAGAAGAAGTGGGGTTATGTGGCTTCTGCAATGTGACCCAAGATTTGACACAACCCGGAGAAAACTCCAGCCCCAGTAGGAAAATGGCCAAAGGCCATAAAGAAGTCACACAAGAATTCACAGAAGAATATTTTCAGCCCCATGGTATCATGTGAGTAAAGCCACACAGTTCAATTTCAGCACCAGGTGGGAACCTGCCTCCTATAAGTTAAATGGAATAAACGAAAATGTAATCATGATGTTGTTCCCTTTCACAGAAATGTGGCCTAACTTCTGAAATCTAATGAAATAACTTCACATTGGCCAACAGGATCACTCAGCATCTGAGGCCTAATTTGAGGCCCTAACTCAACTATCTCATCAACTGCAGTTGCAATTAACAAAAAGTCCAGTAGGCAGAGCAGGGCCTGGACGATAAAGGTCTCACGCCTCGCCTGGGGCTGCCATCGCTATTCCAGTGTCTTCCCCCCAGACCCCTCGGAGGTTCACAGACTGTCACACGTGCACACAACTCCAGCCACCTGCAAAACCAGCTCCCGTCAGGAAATGCGTGTGCTCTTTCCTACACGGTACAGTGAAAAGCAAAATCCTAACGTACTTCCCCATATAAAAAAATAATAATAAAATGAGAAGACTCAGTTTTCTGTCTACACAACTGCAAAGACAAAAGTCAGAGATGTGAACTCCAGACTGTTAACATATCTACTGAAATAAACGGAGCAGTTTCATCAGGAATGTGTACGAGCTATATTGCGTACATATTGGCATCAATCATGAATAAATGAATTTTGGCTTTTTGCATTTCATGTATGGGACTTATTTACATGGCATATTGGCAAACTTGAATGTAAACTAATAATATAAATGATATTGCAAATTGGAGGCATCCCCAAGCTGCCAGAAATAGGAAGAAGGCAGTGTTTCAGTTTCTTCCAGTATGAAAAACTTATAGTGATAACCCAACTAGTTCACAGTAAGGAGGAGAAGATGGAACACTAACCTTTAATAAATTCATAGGAGCTGCTTTCCCTGTTCTGCAGGTGCTGAAAACCAACTTATGCCTCCTACAGGCATCTCTGCTTAAGGGCCTCCCATATCCTGAAATACAGACACTACCAACCAAACTATAAATTAGATTGCTTTCTATTCCTATTTCTATTAACCACTTCTCTAAAATTTGCTAAAATTTGCTTATAAAACTAAACTTGGTGTCTTTTAAGAAACGGAAATTTTCAACTCTAATGTGAGTTCTTCAATAACTATGTCTCTGTTTCAATAACTATTTCTTCTTACGTTAATTTTGGCTCTATTATTTATAAACTAAGCCATTTTCATTTAAATCTTCAAATATATTGACATAAGGCTGCTGATTAGGTCTGAAATCTTTTTTATATCATTGTCCTTTTTTATTTCTCCATTATTTAAGTTTCTTCCCTTTTATTGTCATCAATAACAGGTGTGTGTACTTCTAACCCTTTTCAAAGAATTTCTGATTGCCTCTATTGTTTCTTGGATTTCAATTTCATTCTTTTCCTTTAATCTTAAATTGCTCTTTTTGTGAATGTATGCATTTACTTTGATTAACAATTTCAAAGAGAAATTTATCTCTGATGTTTGTGAGATGTGAAAAGTAACTGAAAACTGCAAAAACAAACAAAAAACTCCTAGAAGCTCCCACCAAAAGTTTGCAATAATTATTACTATTTCATAAGAGAGGTCGGGTGTGGTGGTTCATGCTTGTAATCCTAGCACTTTGGGAGGCTGAGTTGAGCAGATCACCTGAGGTCAGGAGTTCAAAGCCAGCCTGGTCAACATGGCAAAACGCTGTCTCTACTAAAAATACAAAAATCCGCTGGGCATGGTGGTGTGTCCCTGTAATCTTAGGTATTTGGGAGGCTGAGGCAGGAGAATCACTTGAACTCGGGAGGCGGGGATTGCAGTAAGCCAAGATCACACGACTGCACTCTAGCCTGAGCAAAAGAGTGAGACTCCATCTAAAAAAATGTACTTATATATTTCATAAGAGGTAAGAGAACACATCAACGCAGTCACATGTCACTTAATGATAAAAATACATTCTGAGCAATGCAAATGGTAATTTCATCACTGTGCAAACCTCACAGAGTGCACTTACACTAACCTAGATGGCACGGCCTACTACACACCTAGGCTGTGTGGTACAGCCAAGTGCTCCCAGACTACAAACCTGCACAGCATGTTACCGTACTGAACACTGTAGGCAACTGTACCACAATGGTAAGTATTTGTGCATCTAAAC